TAAACCAACAAATTTACCTGTGCCAACATTTTGAATTGATTCATTAAATGGTTAATCAACCAGCTACTTAGGCATACCGATCACCATGGAGTTACTCCTGCACAGGTGACTCTGTTGTTGTAAAGGCATTCATGAGATGTTCTGATTGTACAATAACTTGGATATTGACCAGATCAATTGATTAAGAATTTAATTACCCAAATCTATGTCGGGCTTATGAGGCTCCACTGCTTCTCCCTCAATGGCTATGGGTTTTGTATCTTAGTTCTGAGTTTAACGTCGTCAGTTCGACTTATTAATTGCAGAATTCATCAGTCTATCAAAGTAACCAATGGATATTGTTCAAAATGTCTTCCATAGTACAATTTTAGCCTGTGACCATTTACCTTAAACTTGTCTCCTCCATTTTTCTGAATTTCAATTGCCCCGTACGGAGTAACACCTATAACATTGTAAGGACCCGTCCACCTGGATTTTAATTTTCCTGGGAATAACCTGAGTCGGCTATTGTAAAGAAGTACCTGATCTCCAATTTTGAAACTCTTTGGTCGGATCAACTTGTCATGCCATATTTTTGTTTTTTCTTTAAAATTTTAGCATTTTCATAGGCTCCCAATCTTAGTTCTTTCAATTTATTAACCTGAATAAATCGCTTTTTACCAGCGGAAGTTAAATCAAAGTTCAGTGCTCTCAATGACCAAAAAGCTTTATGTTCTAATTTTACGGGCAAATGACAAGCTTTTCCAAAGACTAATATATGTGGAGATGTTCCAATTGGCATTTTGAAAGCCGTTCGATACGCCCATAATGCATTATCTAATTTTAAAGCCCAGTCTTTTCTTGAGATTCCAACCATTTTTTCAAGAATTCTTTTTAACTCGCGGTTGGAAACCTCAACTTGCCCTTGAGTTTGAGCATGATATGGTGTTCCTGTTTTGTGAGTCACATTATATTTTGACAGTAAAGAGAAAATTGCCTATTGATGAAATGAGTTCCTTGGTCACTAATGATGACTCGCGGTGTGCCAAATCTGGTAAAAATATTTTTTCTAAGAAAATTACACAATGTACGAGCATCATTCTTTCTTGTAGGGATGGATTCAACCCATCTTGACACGTAATCCACAACCACAAGGATATATTCAAAAGAGTGAGAAGAAGGAAAGGAACCCATAAAATCTATTGCCCAAATATCAAATATTTCACATACCTGTATTGATTGCAGTGGCAACTCATCTCTCTTGGTGATATTACCTGTTCTCTGACACCTGTCACATTGTGCTACATATGCTCGGGCATCTTTAAAGAGTGTGGGCCAGAAGAATCCGGCTTCTAAAACATTAAAAGCTGTTCGATTTGCTGCATAATGTCCTCCAATTGCTCTATTATGACAATGATATAGAATTTTATTCATCTCTTCTTCAGGTACACACCTTCTAATGATATTATCTGCACAATTTTTGAATAAGTAAGGTTTATCCCACAGATAATACTTTGCATCAGATATAAGCTTTTTTCTTTGCTGGTAAGAGTAATCTTGCGGTATCCACTTTCCAACCAAGTAATTTGCGATATCTGCAAACCAAGGTGGTTGAGTCACAATTGTGTCAAATGAAAAAATATGTTCATCAGGAAATTCTTCTTTTATCTTATTAAACTCAAGGGGAGGATTTTCTAATCTAGACAAATGATCGGCTACTTGGTTCTCTATCCCTTTTTGTCCTTTATCTCAATGTCAAATTCTTGCAGAAGTAAAATCCATCTTAATAATCTAGGTCGAGCATTTTTCTTAGCTAAGATGTATTTTAAAGCTGTATGATCAGTAAAAACAGTGACTTTGGTTCCTATCAAATAGGAGTGAAACTTATCAAAAGCAAACACTACTGCTAGTAACTCTTTTTCTGTCGTGGCATAATTCACTTGTGTCTCACTCAATGTCCTACTAGCATAGTAAATGGGACAAAAAATCCTATCCCTTCTTTGCCCTAAAACAGCTCCAACTGCTGTATCACTAGCATCATACATGACCTCAAAAGGTTGGTTCCAATCATGGGACACAACTACATGTGCAGTTGATAACTTTTCCTTAAGGGTTTCAAATGCTTTTACACAGTCACCTGAAAAATCAAACTTAGTGTCTTTTATCAAGAGGTTAGTCAGCGGTTTTGAAATCTTTGAGAAGTCTTTTATGAATCGTCTGTAAAAACCCGCATGACCTAGAAAGCTTCTAATTCCTTTCATAGTTGTGGGAGGGGGTAATCTTGCTATAAGATTAATTTTTGCCTTATCAACTTCTATCCCTTTAGTAGTGATTTTATGTCCTAAAACAATTCCTTCTGTAACCATAAAATGATATTTTTCCCAATTAAGAACTAAGTTTGTTTCTTCACATCTTTTAAGAACTAAGGTCAAATGGTTAAGATAATCCTTATATGTTTTGCCAAATAGTGTAAAATCATCCATAAAAATTTCAAGAAATTTGTCAGTCATGTCAGCAAAAATTGCCGACATGCAACGCTAAAATGTAGCAGGGGCGTTGCACAGACCAAATGGCATTCTCCTATAGGCATATGTTCCATGAGGGCATGTGAAGCTTGTCTTATCTTGATTTTCTGGTGCAATTGGTATCTGATTATATCCTGAATAGCCATCAAGAAAACAGTAAAAACTATATCCTGCAATTCTTTCCAACATTTGATCAATAAATGGCAAAGGAAAATGATCTTTTCTAGTGACATCATTGAGACGTCTGTAATCAATACAGACTCTCCATCCTGTAATAGTTCTGGTAGGTATGAGCTCATTATTTTTATTTTTTATAACTGTCATACCTCCTTTCTTTGGTACTACCTGAACGGGACTTACCCACGGGCTGTCAGAAATGGGGTATATAATACTTGCTGCCAACAGCTTTACGATCTCTTTTCCACTATTTTCTGCATTGCTGGATTCAATCTTCTTTGCGGTTGGACTATTGGCTTGTAGCTATCCTCTATAAGGATTTTGTGTGTACAAATAGCCGGACTAATCCCTTTAATATCTTCTACAGTCCACCCCAAGGCTCCTTTGTGTGCTTTCAATACTTTAATCAAACTATTTTCTTGCTCTACAGTAAGAGAAGATGAAATAACTACTGGAAATAATTCTTGCTCAAGATAAACATATTTCAAATGAGAAGGGAGAGTTTTGAGTTCAATATTTTATTGAACTTTTTCGGATTTCATCTCTTCCTCTTCTGAATCTTTGTCAAATATTTCAACTTCTTTTCTGATGGTGGGATCATCGTCATGTGTGGTGCCTGATTTGATCAAGCATCTTTCCATTGAATCTGGAATTAATTGATCATCTTTGAATTCATCTGTAAGATAACTAATCATGTCAATTAAAAAACATGAAGATGATGTTTCATATCCTGAATATCTTAGTATCTTTTGCATATCAAATATGACTCTTTCTTCATCAACTCTTAAAATTAATTGTCCTTGATGAACATCTATAATTGCTCTTCCTGTAGCAAGAAATGGTCTACCTAAAATTATTGGTTCATTAGGACATTCTTTCATTTCAAGTACTATAAAATCTACAGGGAAAACAAACTTATCTACTCTTACGAGTACATTTTCAATTATTCCCTTAGGTTTCTTAGTACTTTGATCTGCAAACTGAAGAGAAACACTTGTGTCTTTTATTTCACCAAGATCTAACTTTTTAAAGATAGAAAATGACATTAAATTTATTGAAGCTCCAGAATCACAAAGTGCTTTTTCAAAATATACTCCTCCCAAAGTGCATGGCATTGTAAAACTGTCTGGATCACCAAGTTTTTGTGGTAGCTTATTTTGAAGTATAACATTGCATTTTTCCCTAAGCATTACCACAGAAACTTCTTCTAATTTTCTTTTGCTTGACAAAATTTCCTTTAAAAATTTGGCATATGAAGGCATTTGTAACAAAGCATCAGTAAAAGGAATATTGATGTGAATTTGTTATAAAATCTCCAAAAATTTTGCAAATTGGTTGTCAAGCTTTTCTCTTTTTATTTTTTGTGGAAAGGGAATATTCACAGGGAGAGGAGTCAATTTTTCAATATTTTTTTCTTCTTTTTTCTTGACTTCATTCTTTTGAGATGGTTCAGAGGGTATTTCAACATTCTTACCATTATTTACATGTTGTTCTGACTAGCCTGCATAGGGTTCATCAAGCTCCTTACCTGATCGTAAGGTGATGGCCGTAAGGTGCTCTTTTGGGTTTTTCTCTGTATTGCTTGGTGAGGGACCTTGAATCTTTTCTGAAACAAGAGCTGCCAATTGGCTCAACTGTATTTCCAAATTTTTGAGGGATGAATTTTGGCTCTCCATCTTTTCATCAGTGACCTTAATATACTTATACAGAAGATCATCAAGACTTGAATGAGCTTGTTGAGGCCTTTGCTGATAGGGCCCTGCTTGTTGATAAGGTCAAAAGTTTGATTGACCATGGTTTGGATTCTAATATCCGGGTGGACCCTGTATTTGTTGCTTCTGGAATCTTTGAGAGTTCTCTGCATCATTTGGATTTCTCCATTGAAATCCTGGATGTTTCTGTGCCATTAAACTTCCAAAAGGATACCGCTTGTAACCAATGACATTGACATGTTCATCATTGTGATTGGTTGCTTGACATTCATGGTTCTGATGATTTCCTCCACACATGTCACAAGCCTCAGATTGGCTTGGTTGTTGTGTATTCACCTGAAAAGTTTCAAACTTTTGTGCCAAAGAAACAATTTGTTGTGTTAGTGTATTTAAAGCATCAACCTGATTTACTGTAGCGGCCTTCTTGATAATTATACGCTCAGATGGCCATTGGATGTCATTCTCAGAAATTTCATTCAACAATTGCAACGCTTCCTCTGTTGTTTTTCCCATTACTGAACCTCCTGCAGCTGCATCTATCACATTTCTAGAAGAGGGTTTTAGCCCGTGATAAAAAATATACAATTGCATATGTTCAGGAATATCGTGGTGTGGACATTTTCTTAACATTGCTTTGAACCTTTACCAAGCTTGATAAACTAACTCTGTGTCAGTCTGCAAGAAATTAGATGTTTCCTGTCTTAACTTTGTGGTTTTAGCAGGGGAAAAATATTTGTTTAAAAATTTCTGAGTCATTTGATCCCATGTGGTAATGGAACCTTGTGGCAAACTTCGCAACCAAGTCTTGGCATATCATTTTAAAGAGAAAGTAAATAGCCTTAACTTGATAGCTTTAGGAGGTACTCCATTATACTTAGTTGTTTCAACAAGTTCCAAAAAGTCAATTAAATGACTGTGTGGATCTTCACTTGCGTCTCCAGTGAATATGCAAGACTGTTGAATTGTTTGAATCAGGCCAGTCTTGATTTCAAAGTTGTTGGCTGCCACTGGAGGTTTTCTGACACTAGATTCACAGTTGAAGCGGTCAGGTCTAGCATAATCCCTTAGGATTCTGTTTGCTGGCCTTAGCGCCACTTCATCAAATTGATCCTCTATTTGTACTGGTGGTGGTACTTCGCGTGGGTTGATATTTTCTACTTCCTAATTCTTCATACCTTCACAAGCTATGCTTTGGGAAGATAATGCTTGTCTTTTCCTGCACAATCGAAGAACTCTTTCAATTTCAGGATCGTAATTGACCAACTCTTTTATAGAAGAGCGGGTCATAAACTACTC